TATATATATATAACAATCATGCCTCCAGTTAGAAAAAGGGCACAAATGCACATGACAAAGGCACAGTTTTGGGCAGAACTTTTTTTTTTTTTACCTTCAAGTGTCAGGGAGGATTTTCTGTTAGCAGYAGTGTCTATCAACACACATATAAAAATATTGAAATAAAAAATAGTGTTTGTCTTCAGAACTTTATTTTTTTTGGTCTATGGTTTTTGCACACCAGACTGATGTAGATTCCCTTTTTTTCCACCTTTGTTGCATTTTACCCAGTGTCTCTAAACTTTTAACATTTGGTTTGAAAATCTGAACTACCAACACCATTTAACTCATTTATGTTCTTGTGTCTTCTGTCCTCCTTTCCTCTTTGTTTCTTCTAGCGGTTATGAATTTGACTATGAATACTACAGAGATAATTTCTACACTCGGTAGGTTTCATTTCTATGTATTGTTTGCTTGTGCTTCCAGGAATATTAAGATAATAATAAAGATTACCTGACTGAGCCCATCCCTCTTTGCTTTGTTTACTATAAGGCATGTCTTTTTATGAAGTGTTTAATTTCATAAGAAAGAGTATTTCAGGTGAGGAATAGATAATTGAGCCACTCCTCTGAGGCTTTGAATCCAATAAATGACAGCAAACAACTATTARAGGAAATGTTGAGCTCAGACTTTCTTCAGTGTGCCACATTCTGCTGTTCCCTCATTACTCCCCTGTATCGACCCAAACAGCCAAAAACAAAATATAAAACTAAGTTAGACAATTAAATCAAGTTATGATATATATATTACCTGAAGAGATTGCTTACAAAACATTTGGAGTCTGTGAAAGATTAAAGTTTTCCAGCTTGAAAAACAATTAAAGCTGCTTCTCTTTTCTAAGTACTTAAGTTTGAAATAATTGAAAATTAATGAAAATGCAAATCTTTCGTTATTGCAAAAAAATTCAGTTTAATCCTCTCCTTTACATGTTTTCTTTATTTTTATGCTTAGGAAATATTAAAAGAAACACGTCATCCTGCAGATTTTACACTTTTATGCTCACTGTCTTTAAAGTACAAACTAGAAGCATTTCCTGCTGCACTAATTAGCCTTTTGGTCCTATAATACTATGCTAATTAATAGTGTCAACACAACAACAAACTGCTTATTTAAGCTGCTGAAAATATACATAAATTTGCACAGAACCGAACTAAGTTAAAATAACATAATTCTGGASATAGAAACTCATATGTGGCAGAAATCATTGTTCATCTTAATGAGGGCAAATATTAGCAGCTGCTTAACAATTTAGGATCATTGCTTGTTTTAAATGTATTGTCCACTGTCAACATTTAGAAGGCAGGTGACATTATTATGTCTTGTGTCTGTTTTTAGGTAAATATTGGTTGCAGCAGTGGTGGACACAGTTTACYGTAAAGTTAGGTTCACTAATCAACTAAACAAAAATTTTAGCTCCGCTAAATCCAATCTGCTAAAAAAATAAAAAATTAGAAGTTAACGTTAATTGCTAAGGTGTCTGTTACACATGTTTTCATCTCCTCCCAGTGGGACCAATGAGGTATATTGGTATTTATTTATTTATTTATTTAATTTGCCCTCTATCATGTCCATCTGGTGGACACTGTAGGGTGGAGGAACAAGTTCTGGCAGCAATGGCTATAGCTTGAGCTCTGTAATCTTTTCTCAGATAAACTGCAATGATGGCCAAAACAGGTGTTATTCCAAAAAAAACAGCACCCCTGGCATTAAAAGGAACATGCCCGTTGGCACGACAACTTGGCATGCTAACTATCAAGAACTGTTCTAAAACAGTGTTCAAATAAACAATTTAATATTGTAGGCTATATTTATGAAAGCAATTTTCTATMCCCAACTTCAAACAGTTCAAAGCTGTAACGTCTTAGAATAAGCTGTGAAATATTGACCTAAACGTATCTTTTCCAGGTGCAGGTCAGCCAATGATTATTCAAAATATTGACCAGTTTAATTAAATTCAGCGGCCTCGTCWTAGGGATTTCTCAATTTGTCGTCTGGTCAGATCAAGGATATGACTTAACGACGCTGATGAAGAAACACGTGATTTCTCTCTCATTTATCCGGCAGCAATCCGAGCTGTAGAGATATTTTCTATTTTCTAAATGTCAAGCGTGTTAAGAGCTGCGAAAGTCTTTGTAACCGAGAACAATCAAAGCTGACAGCCTCATTTAACATTTAGCACCCCTCTTCTTTTCATCCTCTTCATCTTTAGAGGATCGGTGAAAGGAAAACTTTTGTCCATATAATGATCTGGGAAAGTATACAAAAAGGTGGCTATTGGCAGATGTTATACTGTCTGAGAAGGAGAACTCAGAAGAAATCCACCTCAGATCTGTCTTTAAATACTGACAAAGGGAATAGTTAAAGTGAGATAAACTGTAAAACCTTTTCGTTTAAGGAAATGGACTTTCTCCCAGTGTTATGAGGACTTATCTAAAAAAAGTGTAAGATCTGTGATATTATAGGATTCTTCCTTTTTCCCAAGGCTTTTTGACTACCACGGCAGAGTGGCGCCCCCTCCCAGAGCTGTGATCCCTCTGAAACGCTCCAGGGTGCTTGCTCCTTCCTCTCGCCGTGGGAAGACTTCCTTCCCCATCAAAACATCCTCTTCCTCGTCTTCATCATCCTCCAGAGCTCCCACATCATCATCCTCCTCGGGCATCAAACGTATGTACAAGAAGATGTTTTTTACTTGTATTTGCACATTTTGCCTTTATGGTGCTAATGCTTTTATGTCCTTTTTAAAAAACAAAAAACATTAGTGGTCATATTTTATCTGTGCTACATGTGCCTCACTAGTACACATTTTAATACGTGAGCAGCTCGAAAACTAGCCACACTGAAGTTGTATGGTGAGAAATGAGTGTTGAAGCCATTTTGGTTCATATGCACAATCTGATGCRATAACACCAGATGCCRTGCTCAGAGTATGTGTTGGGAGTGACTCTCAGCTACTGACACATCAATTTGTTTTAGCTTCATGTCTGTAAAATTGACAGGGRTATAGCCCTTTTTGTGTTGTGTCAATTAGCTCTGGCAGTAATTTTGAATTGGATTGTTTCCACACACCTGGGAAAAAACAGGGAGCTTCAGCCAAAGGAGGAAGCTGGATCTTGGGACATGGGATGTCACCTCGCTGGTTAGGAAGGAGCCTGAGATTGTGCATTAGGGACTGGATTTAGTTAGGCTCATCTCAATGCATGGCATGGGTTCTGGAACCAATCCCCTTTGAGAGGGGCTGGACCTTATTCCACTCTGAAGTTGCCCTTGGTACAAGGCACCAGGCTTTAGCCCCCTGACTTGAAACGTTTGGMGTTTCCCCCAGTAGATGAGAGAGTAGACTTCCTTTGTCTTTGTGTGAGAGTTTGTTTCTACGACCTGAATGGCAGTTCAGAGAGCCCAGCCGCCCTTGGATTCCTTAGCCGGGGTGCTGGATGGTGCTTTATCTGGGGAATTGTGGTCACAAACTTTAAGAAGAAATCAGAAGAAGGTGATTACATGTTTACAGGTGACTAAAACGAGTTTTCTCTGCTGGGTAACTGGACTCTCCCTTAGAGATAGAGTGTGGAGACAGGAATAGGACTGCTACTCCACAGCCAGTTGAGGTTGTTTCRACATCTGGTAAAGACTTCCCCTAGAGGTCTTCCAGGCATGTCAACTGGGGAAAATRGGCTCAGAAAATTTGTTGGGAAATTCTCGGCTACTACCACACAATTTTAGGTCAACATGTTGTAGTTACTTTTCCGTTTTTCATCTTTGTCAAGATCAGTTAGCTTTGGTGGCCATCTTAAATCACATGGTCTATAAAGTAGGGGTGTACGATAGTTATCGGCCCGATAGTTATCAGCCCAATATCAGGGAATTATGACATCACACTTATCGGTCCAATATCTTAACAAACAGAACCCGATAATATATGTGCATGTTTGCCAGCGCGGCGATGAGAATGCGTGTTTATTTTTATCCTTTTCGATCAAGCCGCTTCCCATCCAGGACGACTCGCTTTTCCCCAAACTTCAATGTACTAAGTTAAATGAGGTACAATAATGGCGTTATATAATAAGAGCAATGCTTCATTGTTAAATACTTCCTTAGCCTTATATAAAACTGCAATTGGTTTTGCAATTTTAGTTTTAATGTTACTAATGTGAGATTTCCAATTTAGATTTTCATCAATAATAATGCCCAAAAATTTCACCTCAGTAACTCTGCTAATTTCAACACCATAAGTTTGAAATGAGACATCAACCATTTTTTTCTTTTACTAAATATCATGTAGTTTGTTTTATCCAAATTAAGTGATACTTTCTAAAGCTCAAACCAAGCATGTATCTTTACAAAATCTAATTGCAACAAAGCTAATATTTCTACTAAATTGTTACCCGAACAAAAAAAGGTAGTGCCATCTGCAAACAAGACACAATCAAATCATTGACATACAAAAGAGGGCCCTAACTCAGAACCCTGTGGGACACCACAAGTAATTGTCTCAAAAGTTGATCGTACATCATTCATTTGCATAAATTATTTCCTATTTTCTAAATAACTCGACGTTACCCATTTTAAAGCTGAGCCTCTCAGACCATATCTGTTCAATTTATCAAGAAGAATGCTGTGATCAATAGTGTCAAAAGCTTTCTTTAGGTCTACGTTAACAGTAACACAATATTGTTTTTGATCCACAGCATTAGTTATTTTTTTCTATCAAATCCAAAAGAGCCATAGTTGTTGAATAACGAGCTCTACAGCCATACTGGCCATTACTCAAAATATTGTGCTCATCAACAAAYTGGTCCAATCTATTTACAAACAGCTTCTCCAAAATTTAAGAAAACTGAGGTAACAATGATATTGGTCTATAATTAGAAAACAAAAATTTATCACCACTCTTGTGGAGAGGAATTACCTTAGCAGCCTTCATACGGTTGGGAAATATCCCAGTCAAAAATGATAAATTACATATGTAAGTACTGTAAATGGCTCAACAACATAAACCATTATTTCCTTCACAAAAGTCATATCCATGTCCGTCAAGTCCTTGGATTTTTTTGTTTGAAAAAATTGTAACCATATTCATTATTTCTTCCTTGTTAGTTTTATTAAGGAAAAGTCTATTTGCACAGTTTTCCAAGGTACTAGTCACAATTATTTACTTTGGATATTTTTGCTGCTAGACTGGGACTGACATTCACAAAATAATTATTAAATCTGTTTACAATTTCACTCTGTTCATAAATGTCCTCATCATAAAACAAAATGTTGTGAGACACTTGATTTTGCCTTATTATTATTAATTTCTGACAGTTTTGTTACAATGTGTACAATACAGCGGTCCATGATATATTATGGTAACAGACATACATGAAGACACAAAGACACAAGCAATAACATTTTTATCCGCATTTGCCATGCAGTGGCAGACGAATCAGAAACAGATCTATAATCTGGCCTCTGTGGGCTTCACCCATTCAACAAAAAGCTGTTACTCTTTCCCAGCATCCATCTGGATCTCATTTGGTTCTCTGATTAACCAGAGATGCATTGAAACATCCTAAGTGTAATTAATGTAAGATTGGGAGCATCCCTGTGGTCAGCTGTGTTTAGCTAAACATTAGTCTCCATCTGTAGTCTATGTAATTGGTTACAGCATTTGTTTCATTGATGGCTGTCTAGGCTCAGTGTTATCAGTGAAAGCAGCTTGGTTCAGTCTGTCAAAAGAACCCAGTTGCAGCTGGTATTACAGCAAGAGGGGGGGAAAAAAGAAAAGCCCATCTCACGTCCTCGTTTTGGAAAGAGTCAATAAATTTTCCTCTGTGTCGAAGCGGAGCTTCTGTATGTTGGYGAGACTAATTTGCCCCTGCCGAGACCATGAAAGATCACTGCTTGTATTGACTTTGGCTGAGATAGATTGGACCGCAAAATAAGGTTAGGTTGTCCAAACAACAGGGTGAGCACATGGAAGCACTGAGGCTGCACGAGTAATAATTCACTGCAAAGAAAAATAAATAAATAAATAAAGTAAACAGCTGTTTAAAGCAAGATTTATGAGAATTTGTTTGTTTCCGAATCTGCATTTTAACACTTRGCGTTCAAGTTCAAAACAACAAAAACAAGGAAATGTATATCACCCATGTCCTTGCATGTCCAAGTTTGAAAGTAAAGTCCTCCTATGTTAAAAAGATAAATGTTTTATATTTCTTGGTCATATCTTGACAATACTAATCTTGCATAATCTATTAGTGCTAAGATTATGAGCTGAGGATGACTCTCAGCTACTTCCACACCAAACATCAGCTTTATAATTGTAAAACTGATGAAACTGTGGTCCCTTTGTGTTTGKTAAGCTTGGTTAGCTAACTAGTAACTATCATGAATTTGGTTGACTCTAAAAGATACATTCTATAATTATTTATTCAACGTTTAGTTAAAATATGTCAAGTGCAGTGGTTCTCAATTATTTTCCGTCATGCCCTCTGAACTGAAATACTATTGAGAACCAGATAATATTGAATTATTTATCTGTACAAACCGCTGTGTACAAACATTCTGGCACCAGCTTTCAGGATATAATCACCTGATAATGGTAGGGGAAACTGCATTATGTATAAGAACAAATCTTATTATAGTTCACCTTTTTAATTTATTTGTTTGGCTGCATTGAATCATGAATTTAAATTTTGAAATTGGTTTAAAATCTATTTTTGTGATCAATAAAGAATTTTTTTTTACTTCAAGGTATGTATGGTATCTTGATTTATGTGGTGCTCCTTCTTCAAGACCAATGAATTTAAAAATAAATAAATAAATAAATAAATAAATAAATAAATAAATAACTCATTGGCGCTCCCCCAGGGGCCACACCCCACTATTTGAGAAGCACTGGACAAGTGGTGCATGAGATATTTTGCTGACAAACATCCTGTTGCTGTTAATCATCCTKGCTACAAGACAGATTAAAACCAATTAGTTAATAACTATTGATGCATTTCAGCTTTGATTAGTTGATTTTATACCAGGATCTGATTCTTTACATCATCTTGACATGGACTGAATTCTGATTTCGAAATTTGTTAAATAAATTGCAATTGTAATAAATTGTATGTGAAACAAAAAACTGTTATGAGTTTAAAAAGTCAGGAAATTCCAATGAAGCAGATTATTTTTTTCTAGGATGCATATCAGCTATTAAAAGACCCTAACTGGTTGACCTCTGATCTTCGAGGCACAGGTTTAAGCCAGCCAATGTTTCTGCTTGTGTGGCTCAACTGATTAATGGCAAAACATGAAGTTGACTGCTTATCTGTAGAGCAAAACTGCATTTGTGGAATGTAATAATGTTGTACCTTTATTTAAAAAATAAATTAAACTTATTTCTAAGTGCTGTGTTCACTTACCTATTTGGTAAAAAGCAAAAACMGTTTACGCCATTATATTTAGTATTTGATTAAGGCCAAAATGAAAACATATTTCACATAATGTGTGGCATTAGGTTAAGCTGTGACTTGATATCAATCCTCTGAACAATTTTATAGCCGATTACAAAGACTCTTTGTTAAAACTGACATTCAAAGTGTGACATTAATTACGCAGAAAAGATCAACTCAGTTGAAGCACATAGATAAAACGAGGGCATTGCCTTTTTTGCCTGATTGGGAAAAAAAAGGATCGTTTTCTCGACATGATTAAAGCCGATGCCCCTGCTGTGCACACGGTCGGCTTCTGTCTTCAGGTTTAAATCAATATCTTTTTCTAAGATAAACGTAAGATTTTACTTATATACCACTGTCTCATAAAAGATTAACTGGCTTTTATTTGAAAGCAGATGGCTCAGTCAAGGCATAACGTCTAATAATGTTGCAGTTTGAGATTTATGTTTTCCAAATTAAAGTTCCATTCATCTTTATACCAAATTATTTCATTATGTCTTCTGCTCCAAGCAAGACACCTAATGATGTTCTTAACACAAAACAGGTTGTGTGTGTAAAATTGAGGCATCAAAATAAAAAAGCAGGCCTCAAGTGTAAGGCTTTGTAGCTCAAAGTAATGAAGAAAAAGCATGGTGAGAGTTTTGCTGGAAAGCCACCATAAATAATCTAAAAACCCAGTTTTCAAACACTTGTGTTTCACTGAATATCTAGAAATGTGAGATCCGATTTTGCAAGTTATTTTCAGATCTATTTTCTATCTTTAAACACAGTTATTGTAGTTATTTAAAAGGGATATTATGCAAAATCTACTTTTTTAGCCCTTAAATACATTTTGTTGTGTACTTCGAGTGAAGAAAATTGGAATTTAGTCTCTTCTAGTGCTGCGTAGACATCTTTATATTCTGTTTGGGTCATGTTTTTCAATCCATTTAATTACTAGTTACTATCATATATTTTGAATAATAATGTAAAAAAATCCATTGTTCTGCAGGTTCATTGTCTTTGTTCCCCTCTGGCTCCAACATGTAAAGCTGGATGGGTAAACCTTCTGTTGCTCACATCTTTTTATCAATTTGTAAATAAAACGGTTCTGCGATGCTAGATAATCATCTCAAACTACGAAAATCGCTGAACAAACTGGAGTGGACAACGATCTATATCAATGGGAGTGAGACCTGGAGGGGGTGGGGTGTGAAGTGCCTCATTTACGTTTAAAGAGACAGCACCAAAATGAGTGTCTCTCAGATGCACTTCAGAATAAGTGTGAAAGAGGGGCTTGTGGAGTTACAGCAATGAGGAATTCAGACCAAAGCATTGCAGTTCCACTTCATATAGACCCCAACTGAATGACTTAAATGTGAAAAAGAAGGATTTAGGAGCATGATATCCCTTTTAAAAACAACGAACAGTTTACGCTTTTGCCTCAGAGATCCTTTTTGTTTTATCACATCAGCATCACTATTAAGCCTAAGCAAAGTATCCAGGAACAACTGAATGGATTTCAATGGAACTCTCAATAATAAAAGTTCAGCTTTTCTCACTCTTCACCTTCAAACCAAACTATCTATGGATGTGGTGTTGATGAATCGCTGCTGGAAAAAGGGCGTGTGTGTTTCCGCCCAGCAGCTCGTGTGTCTGAAAGCACAAAGGGGAAAGAGGCCTAGAGGTCCCGATAAATTAAAAACTGTTCTGCACTTTCTTATCACCAAAGGACGACCAGTAAGCTGCCCAGAGCGGGCTCAGATAATGCCGGACACGAGAAGAGCAAGTGTGTGTGTGTGTGTGGATGCGTGTTTTCAAGGATACCGGTTTCTACAAATGAAAGCAGGTGATACAGAGGAGATAAAAGCACATCAATGTGTTCCCCCCAATTGAGATATGATTGTATATTCACTGTCTTCCACATTTTGCCTTCAGAAGATTTGATGTCGATAGTAGCTCTGCAAAACAACACAAGAACACCTCCAGGGGTTTCCTATCACATATTACCTTTGGATTCCAATCAGTTTTTGTTTCTGTTGCCTGTAGACACATTAATCATCCTGCTCCTTAATACAAAAAAAAAAAGGTCCTGCATTGATGAATATCATACAGAGTGCACAGGATCCTGCTGGGGCAGCTGTTGTTTTGTTTTTCAACATGAAGACTGCTGAAAGATTAAAATGTCCTTTAGGGGAGTCTAGCTTACTCCAAGGTAATATGTCAAAGATTGTTCTCTCTCTGTGGTTATGTTTAATTCATGGATTTAGATCATGCAAAGTAGCGCACAGAGTTCGGAGGCGCTCTGTATTGTGATGCGTGGCGTGTGGGTGTAAATATACATCAAAGAATGCAACTTAAAGGGGCCACACGCAGGCAAGATACCAAACAAGTGCGGTTTTGATTTTTGTCTCTTATCTCTGATCTCCAGCTGAAGCTTTACAGGAAACTCGTGGGTTTGTTTACCCAGCGCTCATCCGTCCCAACGCCAGCTCAGATAGGATCTGATAGGTGTCAAAGAGAATTTTCTGTTTACTCCTCAACTTTTGGCATCCATATTTCCACTCTCCTTTCGGAAAAGAGAAAAAGGCATTTCATCTGCCAAGGGTTAAGGAATGAGATTAACTTGTTCTTTATTGGGCTAAAATTCTTTAATCTGCTCAGTTCCGAGCTGCAGAGGAGCACAACCTCATTTCATCTGTCAGCAGACTGAATTAACGGTGGCAGTCCTCTGATAAATGCTTTTTATTTTCAGCTTTTATTTTTACKCTTATGACATATCAAGGTTAAGTCTCAAAGTTTGACATGATACAGTTACGCTTCATTACCCAAATCTCAGATACGTATCRTCTAGAGGCCGCTTAGGAGCCAAAACGAAGCAAGGAGTAGGGAGCAAATTATTCATAAGGCTGTAAACAGACACAGAGGGAGGGATGACTGAACAGTGATAAACATGCAAGTCTGACTGAGTGTGTAAAAAGTTACACGGATTTTAAACACTTTTTCTTATATTCTTACAGTTTTACATTCTCAGCTATTAACCTTTCAGCTAATAACCAGAAACTGTAGTTTAAATGTACTTAAAATTACAAACAGAAAGATTTTATTTATGAATCATAAATAGCAATAAGAAAAATAAAGCAATCCACAAAAAAGAAAACAATCCATCCTTTAATATCCCGTTTACTCTAATTCATCTCAGTAAATTCTGCTTTTTAGTTCAATCCATTAGAGCCAGATTCAGATTAAAAGGCGTTTCATACATTCCTGTTTAATTTACCAAATTTATTCATGTATAATACGATCTCGAGTATAATACGATCATCAATTTTGGAGCTTAAAAACCATAAAAAACCTAATCATCAATAACCTGTGTATAATACTACCCCCCACCCACACACACACACACACACTTTAAGGATGATTTTTAGGGTTAAATTTCTAGTATTATACATAAATAAATACAGTAATTGTAATCCACTTCAACATGACTGCATTCAGTACTATTATATCTTTTAGATGCAGTATGAAGGAGCTTAGTTATTAATGAGGTCAATGAAATAAAGAAGTTTACTTTGAATTTTAAGTAAAGTATAATAAATAATGAAACCTATATTTCTTGTCTGGTTGTTTTAAAGGCATAAATGGAGGTCAAAGTCAAATTTAATCTTATCTGGAACAAAAGCAGCCATCGCATCTTTGCGCTCCACCATTTTTAACTCTCAGTTTTAAAAAGGATTATCATAGTTCATCATTTTAAAGGAAAGTGTATGAACATTTAATATATTGCCTTTTTGTAGATGGGTCTTTGAATGATTTTATTTTTGGAGAAATGTGTATATTTAAGTTCTTACTATACGACCAATATTTTTATATTTTTATTAGGAATTTTTCAAATCTTCACATCCATGTTTTAGAGCTAACTTTTACCAAATTAAACTGTGACCTTGTTACATTAATAACCTCAAAACACTTTGCTGCGATGTTTGATTAAACCTCCATGTTTTATACCGTGTACCCGTTTCATATTTTAAAGCACAGTTTGTTCCGATTTTTGGCAGAGCTTTGGAAAAAGTTGAGCAGCTCTGCACAGCGTGGTGGGCGTAAGCTGTACACTAATCTTTAAATTGAAAAACAGCAGGTCCACAGTTTTAGTGGGATTACTTTTCCGCACGTCAGACTGAGGCGTTCTTCCCTGAGGAAGATGTGACTCAGAGTGGGAAAGGCATTAATAGATTAAATCAGCTTGTGCCTTATTAATAAAATGAGTACAGAAAAATAAACTGCAACAAACCAGTAGAGACGAACTAAAACAATGAATTATTTGTGTTTTTGTCTCTTTTTTTTTTTTACAGTGAAGACAGATCAGCTCCAGACCATCAAACGAGAGCTCACTCAGATCAAAATGAAGATCGACTCCTTATTGGGGCGCCTGGAGAAGATTGAGAAGCAGCAGAGAGCTGAATCTGGTGAGAAACAGAAAGGCGCACAGAGGCCATAAGTCTCTGTGACACCATTAGAGATAAAAGCATCCGAGCTCTCCGTCAGCCCAGCAGACAGGCTGTCAGCACCAAACTGACTCGGTTTATGTGACAACTTTATAGACGCGCAACACCGAAGGAGGAACCTCAGAGTGCCAAACGCTGTGAAGGTCATTTAGGCAGAGCGCTGAAAATTACGCGGCGCACGATTCTCCATCAAGGATGCTGCATTTTAACAGATGAAAATTTTCACTTCAAATGGAAACACAGCCAGTGACAAAGGGGCAACGCAGCTGTCTAAGTTGTATGAAGTGGAAGGTGAAGAACACAAAGGCGGGACATACGGAGGCAGAATTTTAAGAATATAAAAGACTGATTTGGCATGAAACTAAAGCACCACCAAGACCAGGGTGAATCAAGGGCAGAAGCAAGGAGAGTGGCCAGAGTGACGAGCTCAGAGATAGTAAATAAACAGAGAGGAAATGGCCAAGTTATAAAAATGTGTAGCTGACAAAGCAAAGGTTCAAGCAATAAAGACATTCWCATCAGATATTCAACAGGGATATACCATATTTATTCAAGTATAATACRTAAAATTAAATCCATAAAATCATCCATAAAGTTGGGGGGGGTGGGGTAGTACTATACTCGGATAAATACTTTTTACTTATGTATTTTAACTGAAATATCGGCTTCATTCACAAAATGCCTGAGTCTGGAAATGAGACCACGTCGTAAAAAGCAGTTGAAACGAGCTTACCTCTGATAATCCTCCGTGCTTCAGAGCGAGATAGTAACAGATCCAGGCAGGCGACATGATGTGAAAAAAGGGGAAAAAAGCAGTCCTGCACCTTAGTAATGATAACGAACTAATGACATTAGCGTGTGACCGAGCCGCTCCTGGAACAACAACAAACACATGTTCGTCTGTAATGGCTGCCATCTACTGGTGTTCTGAAAAAGTTTGTATCCCTGAAAAAACATTTCCCCACCAGAGGGGGCGCTCGCGAGTAGGAAGTAATCTGCTTTTCCCCCACAAGATGCTCCAAATCTTATGTGAAGTCGCTGACTTTTGTGTTGGCGCATCCTAGTGGACTATGTGTAAAATGCCAGAATTCATATGATGTTGCTACAGCTGAAATATATTTGTTGTCAAAATACCTTTTAGTGCATATGTTGTTAAAATGAAATGAACAGTCCAATGATCATTTTACTGATATACAGTATATAAAGACTGCATAGGCTAAAAAATCTTGAAGTCTGTAGGAAATCGGAGGTACCGTATTTATTTATGTATAATATGATCTCATGTATAATACACCCCCCTTTTAGCTTAAAAAGCATAAAAAATTAAATCCTCAAACTATCTCCAATTTCAAACAGACTTCAAAATTTTTCAGCCTTTGCAGTCTTTATACATATCAGTAAAAATGATCATTGGACTGTTCATTTTATTTTAACAACATATGTACTAAAAGGTATTTTGACAATAAATACATCAGCAGTAGCAGCATCATATGAATTCTGGCATTTTACACATAGTCCACCAGGAGGCGCCAACATAAAAGTCAGAGATTTCACATGAGATTTGGGCCAGCTTCAAGGGGAAAAGCAGATTACTTCCTACTCGCGAGCGCCCCCTCTAGTGGGGAAACTTTTTTCTGGGATACAAACCTTTTCAGAACACCGGCAGATGACCGCCATTACAGATGAAGGTGTTTGTTGTTGTACCAGGAGCGGCCCAGTCACACGCTAATGTCTTTAGTTCGTTATCATTACTAAGGTGCAGGACTGCTTTTTCCCCTTTTTTCACATCATGTCACCTGCCTGGATCTGTTACTATCTCGCTCTGAATCACGACGAAGTGTCACAGGTAAGCTTGTTCAGCTGCTTTTTACGACGTGGTCTCATTTCCGGACTCCGGCGTTTTGTGAATGAAGCCGATATTTCGGCTAAAATACAAAAGTAAAAATATTTATCCGATTATAATACTACCCCCCAACTTTATGGATGATTTATTGATTAAATTTTACGTATTATACTTGAATAAATACGGAAGTTTGAGGATTAAATTTTTTATGCTTTTTAAGCTCAAAAAGGGGGAGTCGTATTATACATGAGATCATATTATACACGAATAAATACGGTAATATAATATTAAACATATAGGCAGTGATTACCAAAATAGGACAGGAACTGAAGCGAACATTAACATAGGAACATAACAAATCCAACTGCAAGAGAGCAAGCACTAAATCAGACAATCCTAACATGAGAAGACAGAATAGAATAAAGAAACAAAGACATCAAACTCTGTGGACCGTGTCACAATTATTGGATCTGAAAATGAGGTAATCAATGCAGAGGCTGCAGTCACAGATGAAACCAAAATCAATATTTTTCTTTCTTTATTAGCGAAAACAGCTTTCCAGTTCTGATTTTGTCATTTAAAGATTAAAAAAAATGTAAAATGAAACTAAAGCAACTGCTTTGCAACAGTTGTCATCTCCCAGCTGTGCCAAAACCAGTTTAATTTGGTGGAAACAACAAGAAGATGCTAAGAGTGAAAGCCAAAATTTAGTGCTATTTTAACTTTTTTTCCTTTCAGTTTTATAAAAAAAAAATTCTGTGAATTTGTGAGCCAAAGAAACTTCAACCTCTTTGCCTTTTCTCTGTTTCAGAGGCTCAAAGGAAATATGAGGACAACTGTGACTCTCTGCATGAGGAGTCTGTGTCAGAAACGGCAGAAAACTCCGGCGAGGAGGCCGGCGAGGGGGCGCTGGAGTTGGAGGCAGGGGAGATGACCGACGGAGGCGAGGATGACTACGATGAAGAGGGCAGTCACCATCTGGTAAGAAGGTTGACAGGGCCGTCAAGGAGGGGAGAGGGAGCAAAGTGCTTTGAGAGATCTCAAGAAGGCCCAGTGTTCGCTGTCTGAAAGCTAATTTTCCAGAATTATTCATGGCCGCAGATCTGACAGATCGGGGCTTCACATGAGTAAATGAGAGCGCCTGGGCTGACAGTTTCACCCAGTCCACAGTTGCTGAAACAGTGGGAGAAAAGCCCACACACACAAACGTACAGGCTGTAATTAAAGCAGTGGGCTTGAGACACAGAGAATAACTAAGTGTAACGCTGACATGAACTGCATTAACCATACAGTGGTGGATGAACAGTAGAAGACTCCAGAAGAGGCTTTCTTCCACAAGGTCAGTGAAGATGTAAAGAAACTCTCATCAAGAYGAGTTTGACTTAGTTTTCATTTTATTCAGAAAGTATCAAATGCTTTAAAGGGATCTCCAACTACTCGCACATTGGCCTTGATATGTTATTTCTCTATTCTACTAAAAGTTGTTGTTTGTGACACATGAAAACCTTGAACTATTTTTTTTCACTCAAGCATGTCACCATTTTGTTAATGATTTTTGATGATGATGATAATGAGACTAAAACACAGAGTCAAGACTAAAAAGCTGTGTGAAAATAAAGTTACATTTTGTATTAGTTTCTATGTTCTGCACAGTATAGTTGAAACAATCGAACGTGATAACCGTGATTATCTCCAGAGATAAAATTATTAGCTCGGGAGCTAATACTATTAAGTTTAGGTACATTTGAGCTATAAATCTTCTCAATATTAACCATTTTTTTCATAACAGATAAAATAAAAACTGTTAAATCTCAAAGTAACAAATAAAGAAAAACCATTGAGCCGTCTTTTCAGCTCGAAATCGAAACCTAAGCAGCTTTCATCAGTCTTTCGTCTAATGTGATTGTCCTCTCAAAGCTTGTATTGATTGTATTCAGTGAGCCATTTGATCTCAGTGGGCTTTGGCTTTGGCGCTCATTTATCACACCAGTGATTTGAACTGGAAAAAAAAACTGGACCTCAGCTACAAAAACAGATTCCCCGTCTGTTGAAGGTTCTTCTGACCAAAACAAACATGATTTTTCTCTCTCCATTCATTGTGTGCTTTGAAGGTTGAAAGCTGAATGCCAGTGTTGCTTTCAAGCTACAGTTTAATTGTAGTCTTTTTATCACTGGCTGCTGTTGTAACGTGAAATTATATTTTAGTTTAATAACAGTAATTTGCATGCAGGAGCTTTTAAAACACCCTCACTGTTTCATTTTATACAGCAGTCAAAACATATTATCCATTTTGTTTAAAAAAAACTTCTAAAGCCATGTGTTTTCCCCACTATTTTACATTTTACAGATCACAGTTTTAAAAAATCAACATCAAAAGCACTTATCCTCGATTTAATCTGTGTAGCTATGTTTTCAGATGACATTTTTTTAAATCACACTMCATTTATTAGCCATAAACCATGAAGCACGACCTTGATGAAAGCTTTACATCCTCACTTACCTTTCAGCGACACATAGGAGGAGATTTACTTGCACACAGAAGGTCATGTTGATCACATTTTAATCACAAAGACTCCTCTGTAGCCAGACATGGTGGCCCTTGTTGAGCGTATATCATCAATGACCTTTTAACAAAAACTTACATTACAACCTGTGAGCTCAGTTATTTCCTCTGTGTCCACTTTTTCAGATAGAGAACCACGTATCGGATATTGACAACTGAGATAAGGTAAGAATTTTGGATTTCAACTTCCAAGTGTCCATTTCAGCAGCTTACAACACTGCTCCTCCACTGTGTCCTCATTAAACAGTCGTGCATCTGACTCCTATTAAAGCCTGCAGCCACTGAGCTGAGTCTTTAGTGTCTCTAAACAGCCGTTAATCATCTCGGAAGTCATAAGCTTCCTGACATTTGGAAGACCAGCTTCACTGAAGGGCAGCTAATACCAAGTTCAACACAGGCAGCAATAATGGCATTCCAATGGGCCAGAACTGCCCGTAAACAATATTCATTTAATTGAATTGTGTGGAAGGAGCATCTGAATGGTGAAGCCTAAGGTAAAGAGTTTCCAGTCTTTTTTCCGCTGAGGGTGTAACGATGCAGCACTGACACCGTCTGGCTTGGCAGTGGCTAGTTCTTCATAACTGTAGTGTTTATTGATACCATAGTGAAGMAATTTATATTTATTAGAGGTTAGTACTGATGTTAAAAGCACAACACTATATTTTTAGGTTTTCCTTTTTATAATGTTGACAATGTTTAATCTATTTTTTGATTGATATAGATTAGTTACATGTCCGAATTATAAGAACACATAATCAACCGTTATGAGAACAGTAGGTGAGAATTTTGTCTGAATGCCTGTGATTCAGCCGTAGGTCAGTAGGGGGCGAACGCAGGCATTGAAGACCATGCATAAATGGATGTACTTCCTGGTTTTTGGGACTTGTGGTTTCCTTGTCAGCCCGGTGGCAATAAAACCTCACGTGGTTCCAGAATTCTGGTGTGGTTTTCATTCCTTCTACAAATCATTTTATTTAACAATGGTGTTTTTAATATTGACTTCAGTCTTTTGCACACGTATTTTCTTACAATAGAATAAGCTAATCCTGAAAAATAAAATAAATTGTAACTATTAGTTTAATGTGTTTAGCAGAGGCTGTTGTACGTGTTGATCAATTAGGGTTTTAGTTACTGGCCAATAAATCAGTTTATGTTTCATTCTTTGTTTTTTGTCTGTTTCAAAACAAAATCGCAAAAAGATAAAAAAATAACTTGTTGTTTTTCTGTTTTTAAAACCTGAATGTAAAATTGTAAAACCGAACTAAATAAAAATCTAGTGTAAGGTTTTTGCTTCAGTTATCTATATCCAAAATAAAATATATGGTTGTTTTTAATATGTAGGAAATGATGGAAGTCAAACACAAAGAGCTTATAGTGGCTAGAAGACTGGAATGGGACCCATTCTTGAAGATATTGCCAGTGGCTGCACTCGAACCTTAGTCTGCATGATTCGAAATCTTGAAGCAATTTTGTTCACCGTAAGTTCATCGGCTCTCAAAGAGATGCATCAACTCTCAACTCTAAATATCTGCTAAGATTATCTTTAGAGTCATCATGATAATCTGGACGTCCTTAAGATTGGTTCAAATAATGTGCTAACAAAATATGAAGCTTATCTTTGCTTCATTAAAATTAAAAATAAGAAGGCTTTTTATTTTTTGCAATTGTCCTTTTTTAATTTAGTTTTAAAACTAAAGAAAAAAATCAGGTTATTTGTTTTTCTTATTTTATTTTGCAATAGAAAAAAAACTACACAGATTCCAATTCCATTTATCTGTTAGTTTTTTGGGTTCATAACATTAGCATTTTGGCTTTATCTTTGGACTATGAACTTTTGGAGCTGTTTTCTCYATCTTGATTTATTTATTAAGAGTTCACTATAAATGCCACTTAGAGATGAACCTTTACATTATATTTTCTCTGTAAAAGTAACATTTTTATGTAACAAATGTAATATATTAGGCTTTAAGAGATCAAGATTTAGATCTTACCTTTTTTTCTGATAAATACAACATTGTTCTTCTTGCCAATTTCAATTGGTACAGTATTTGCTGGTGTTGAACTGAAAATGTATCACTGCCTAGAAAGAGAAGCTAATTGACAAAAAATGTCTCCAAAAACACTGTGCTGTCCATAGATGTGCCTGCATTTTATTTTCCTTCAAATGCTAATTAATAGGTTGATTAATCAACCAGTTCCACTTAAATCTGATTACTAAGTTTGATTTATTGTGCTTGTAACAAATRCTTATTAAAAAGTACAAAGATTACTTGAGAGTGGGTATCCCGCTTTATTTTTTATGGATTTTTTTCATTAATTAAACCCTTGAGTTTGTTCAGATTCCAATCTCCAACCAACTTTGCTCAGGGCACTATTTGCCCTTTCTTTCTCTGAAGAAGTGAAAAAAAAGAAAATTCAAGTTCATCCAGTTTGGATGCAATCTTCATACAACTCCACAAATTMTCTAAAGCGTTTAAGGCGTACTCAGCTATGCAAGGACATTCACCCTCTTCTCGTCAGGCACTGCATTGTCAGCTTTGTCTGTGTAGTTGAGATCACTGCCATGTTGAAAGCAGCAAACTGTCCTCCCATGTTTCTGGCATCATGCCGCAAGTTTGCCTTGAAATTTGTTTTCCCCAGTTTTCTTTTCCATCTATGACAAATTTGTGTTTGTTCCCAAGACGAGGGGGGGAATCAGAAAACAGATTGTCACTAAAGCCGTGTTTTATTGTGCATATGGAGCTCAGTTCTGAGGTTTGATTTGAAAATACTTTAATCATGTTGATGTTAAAATTGATATTGTTGTGGAAGTTTTGTGCCTTAAGATTTTTTTTCATATATACAGTATTTCCATATACATAAAATCACTTTTATCTAAGAAATTCAAAAAGAGGCCACAGGGAATATACAGTAAATGGTTCATATAAATGTTATTGTGAAGAGTGTTATTGTATTCATAGTTTCTGATAATTTTCTATTGTTGTGACTACAGTATGTATTATATGGTTTGATTACATTAAAYATTCTTGTGACATCACCTGAGGCATTATAAACCAGGGTATTAGGAAGATCGTAACCAAAATRGTTTCCAAACATTCCTGTTTTGGTGTGTCAGTGCATGTTTTTCTGATGGCCAAATATCTCATGAAGAACTGGACGACACTTAATGAAACTCCATGATGAGCATCTACAGCTGATTAACTTTTGGAGTCAACCCAATTCAACATGGCTGCCATAGTTCATTGAGCTTGGAAAATGCAAAACTGAGTCCAAACTCAGTTAATTGTGCAGATAYTGAGCTAAGSTTTGGTGTGGWAGTAGCTGAGACTGATCCCCATTTTATACTAGATTTTACGTCTTTTTCAGCCACTTGGTGACCTCTTAGGAAACCCATAAAATACTTTATTTTCACTTCCCAAAACTGTAAACACGTTGCATACGTTTTAAATCCTTTTTGACATTGAGAATGGATGAATGTTTTGTTTCCAGGCTTACCAAGAAGAGAAAATCCCAGTTAGAGCACTGATATGTCATGTCCAGAAGGATTAGAGAAACAAATCCACCAAAAAAAAAAGTTGTTCCATGTTTCCAAGTCCCAAGCTTTTTAAAATCTACTTCATCCTCATCAGACTGACAGCAGTTGAGACGGTGTTTGTGACGAAGGAGTGGTCATAGACTGTGCTTTCTCGTTGTATTTCTGCAGAGTGAGGAATCCAACTCTCCTGGCTGTAGGTATTAGAATTCATCATCACCTTCAGGAGGCAGAAAAGGGATCTGCGAGGGATCAAGACCCTACCCATTCAGGACAGTGAGTTGTGTTAAAGAGATGCCGAGTCATGTTTCGACGCCCAGCTCTGCAGCACAAACCAAATGTGACGTGCTGTTTTACAGAAAATTTGTTCTTAATGTGTTGCCCTGAGTTTACTTCGAGAGCAGCTTATGTAACATAGCAAGAAGCCGACAGTCTATACATCTCCTGAAAACAGACAAAACAGAATGGAAAGATTTACGAAGAAACAGAAACATGTTGTCGATRAATTTTTGATGCTTTTTTAAAAACGTGCTTGCGCTGTAATTTTACAATTTTTTTTGTTGTTGTTGTTGCTTTTGCTTAAATATCAAACAGATGAACGAGTTAGGGTAAGAACAATCTGTGACCGCGCTGTGGTCTCCAGAAAATAAACGGAGCGTCGTTGCTGTCTGCTTTTGGATTAAATAAAGCCAAAAGCTATGAGCATAACTTTATGTGGCTTCATCCATTTATCACACAAATGCCCTGTGGGGCTGTTCCACCATGTATTCCGAACTCCCGCCAAGTTTGTAAAGCAGAGCGAGGGCTCCCTGTTGTTGAGAGCCAAGTCTGGCACAGAAAACTCCTGCCAGGGAGCAGCACCCCGACGTCTCCTCCCTGCACAGCCTGCGCATCCCAACTTGGCCTGCTGCTGTTCTGGAGCCAGCACCTTCCTCCTACAACACCTCATTATTTTTCCTTTTGTTTTTGTTTTGTTTTGTTTTACATCCAAATCTGATTCTATCTCATGTWAGCGAGGGAGCAAAAGCAAGATCTTTGAAAACTGCACAATAAGTTATAACTTAAAGGGGAAGGATTAAATAAAAACAAATCATGAAATGTGTGATTCATATCACTTGTTTTCAATACATCGTAAGTAGACGTAAATTATGGTACATCGTCGTCCTCCTCTCATTACTGCTTTTACCCCCTCTCTGTTGTGGAACTGTTTTTTTTTCCTGGTTGGATTTCCTGTTTGCCGGTGAAATTGGTGCCATGTGGAGGTGCAGTTAACCTGATTACAAATAAATTGCTGCAAATTTAATTACGCCAGTAACGACTTAATGTCAGCATGTTCTCCTGTCAATTATTTAAATTGCCTGTGTCCCGCTTGTGCTTTCTTTTTTATTTTATTTTTCTTTATTGCACTTCTGATGTAACCACAGTAAAGGTATTTCAAAAATATGAAATTGTGGAAAGGTCTCCSAGCTTGTTGCTTGGTAGTCTTAATTTGGCTGAAGAACTTGAAAACTCCATTTAAAAAAATGTTTACATTTTATTGGACTTTTTTTTATTTTATGCTAGGTTACTGTTTTAGCTCCAAATGAGTAACMCTGTGACCAGCTCTCTGATTTGGCATTTAATTACCCACCACTTATGAAATCAGCCATTTGTGGTTCTGGAACATGTTCCCCTCTTTTACAAAGGAGGTGTTCTAGGTATGCATGTACAGTGGTTTGCAAAAGTATTCATACCCCTTGAACTTTTCCATATTTTGTCACATTACAACCACAAACATAAATATATTTCACTGGAATTTAATGTGAAAGACCAACACAAAGTGGTATACAATTGTGAAGTGGAAGCAAAATTTTACATGAATCAAAACATTTTTTACAAATAAAAAACTGATAAGTGCGATGTGCAAAATTATTCAGCCCCCCTGAGTCAATACTTTGTGGAGCCACCTTTTGCTGCAATTACAGCTGCAAGTCTTTTAGGGTATGTCTCCACCAGCTTTGCACATCTAGTGACTGCAATTCTTGCCCATTCCTCCTTGCAAAACAGCTCAAGCTCAGTCAGATTGGATGGAGAGCGTTTGTGAACAGCAGTTTTGAGATCTTGCCACAAATTCTCAATTGGGTTTAGGTCTGGACTTTGACTGGGCCATTCTAACACATGAATATTCTTTTCTTTAAACCACTCCATTGTAGCTTTGGCTTTATGTTTAGGGTCGTTGTCCTGCTGGAAGGTGAACCTCCGCCCCAGTCTCAAATCTTTTGCTGACTCCAACAGGTTTTCTTCCAAGATTGCCCTGTATTTGGCTCCATCCATCTTCCCATCAACTTTGACCAACTTCCCGGTCCCTGCTGAAGAGAAGCACCCCCAGAGCATGATGCTGCCACCACCATATTTGACAGTGGGGATGGTGTTTTCAGAGTGATGTGCAGTGTTCTTTCTCCGCCACACATAGCGTTTTGCATTGTGGCCAAAAAGTTCAATTTTGGTCTCGTCTGACCAAAGCACCTTCTTCCACATGTTTGCTGTGTCCTCAACATGGCTTCTGGCAAACTGCAAACGGGACTTCTTATGGTTTTCTTTTAACAATGGCTTTCTCCTTGCCACTCTTCCATAAAGACCACATTTGTGTAGTGCACGACTAATTGTTGTCCTGTGGACAGTTTCCCCCACCTGAGCTGTGGCTCTCTGCATTTCATCCAGAGTCACCATGGGCCTCTTGGCTGCCTCTCTGATCAGTGATCTCCTTGTTCGGCCTGTAAGTTTAGGTGGAYGGCCTTGTCTTGGCAGGTTTACTGTGGTGCCATACTCTTTCCATTTCCGGATGATGGATTGAACAGTGCTCCGTGAGATGTTCAAAGCTTGGGAAATCTTTTTATAACCTAAGCCTGCTTTAAACTTCTCCAAAACCATATTCCTAACCTGTCTGGTGTGTTCTTTGGACTTCATGATGCTGTTTGCTCCCCAATATTCTCTTAACCAACATCTGAGGCCGTCACGGAACAGCTGTATTTGTACTGAGATTAGATTACACACAGGTGGACCCTTTTGAGTCATTAGCAGTCATCAGGCAAMTTCTGAATGCAATTGGTTGCACTCAGGGAAAAGGGGGCTGAATACTTTTGCACGTCGCACTTTTCAGTTTTTTATTTGTAAAAAATGTTTTGATTCATGTAAAATTTTGCTTCCACTTCACAATTGTATACCACTTTGTGTTGGTCTTTCACATTAAATTCCAGTGAAATATATTTATGTTTGTGGTTGTAATGTGACAAAATATGGAAAAGTTCAAGGGGTATGAATACTTTTGCAAACCACTGTACATACATTGTCATACAATGAACGAAACTGGTCCTAAAATGAAATACTTCAAAGCTTGAGGTGTTGACCCCAGATGCGTTTTGCTACTTCAGTGCTTTCAAGAAAACAAACAAGTCATTTAATGTTAAAAATGTTGAAAAATCTTATCTAGAGACACACCAATCAATCAGCTGGTGACAAAAATCTGATGATTTCTAGCTTTATTAGTGACCTACCAAACCAGCAATGTAAATTCTTGTCTGAATGCACCATAGCTAATTAGTTAAATTGTGACATTGCTCGTGTCTCTAGTATAGATGTTTTTAGCGGAGTGAAAATCACTGAAGCCCTGTCTACACAAAGCACCCTTTCGTCCATAGGGAAGTGACATTTTAAAAGCTACAAAATTGTCATTTTTGACCAAAAATCTAGAGAATAAATATTGTTAGATTTCCAATGACCAAGAAAAGTTCATCAAATTTATGTTTTTAGAATAATTTCCTTTTTTTTTTCCAGTGGAACATTTTTATATGAATACAGTCAAGATTCCAAACCARCTACAAATGCGAAGAAAATGTTTGGAATTTTGTTAATTACACTCCTTGGAGAGAAATTATCTGCAGGTCAGAACAGTACAAAAAAAACAGAAATTACTCAGCCTAGAAAATTGTATTTCTAAAGCGTCAGACTTTCTCTGCTGGAAGATCAGTGTTTAGATTACTCTATAAAGTTTCCACAATGTCAACATTTTGTTACACCTGCTTTGTCGTTGCTTTATGTAATTTTTTATAACAACTTTAATTGCTAATGAATGATTTAAAGTAGTGTTTGCATTTATTTTATTTTATTTTATTTTTTTACATTCGCTCCTTTTAACCTTAGATGCTACAAGCACAAGCTGATGAAATWTGTCCACTGGGGTTAAGTGGAATTTTAGTGAAGCTACATTATTTGAACTGAAAAATAAAGGGAAGCTCACCTTACATAGTTTTATGAAAACACTCATCAATACTGTCTGGTAAATGATGCTAATGTGTAATATTTAACACTATTTTTGTATCAAAATCCATGTTCAAAAATAAATGGAGCTTTGGTTTCTGTTTTTGGTTTTACCTTTTCTTTTYATTGCTATGGTGATTTTACAACAAATACACGCACAAACAATAAACACGGTCATTTCATTCGATTGTCAGTTTATCGGGGGTGAAGACTTCTACCTGAACGCACATTTCCTGTGAATAATCCCTTTTTATGTTTGTTTCAAAGAAGCTACAATGACGACTTTTTAGCGAGTAATTCTGTGCTGACAGTTTGGTTCAAACCAGAATCGTGGGACTTGTAGAGACGTAAGTGACAACTGTTGTAAAGAAATGTAAATTTTTTTGTAAAGATATTTTTATCAAACGGCATGTCTACTGTAACTTTGTATTTTCTGTTTTCATGTGTCAAGACAAAAACATATTCTAACTGTTGTGAGGCTACAGGAGTCATTGTCATTGCAGATTTGTGTTTCTATTAGTCAATAAAACTGTTTGTGTCATAAATTCACCATGTCAAGTTTGGGTTAATGCTTTTGTTAATATAAATGAAAAAGAACTGGTGGGACAAAAGGTGATTTTTTATGGCCAAGAACTGATCATAGGAACAGATAGGAGCTAAAGAAATAATTACTTGGCATGCAGGCAACATAAAAAATCCATAGGAATGTGTGATGATAAGAACATGTCAGATGTTGACATCAATCTAACACAGTTATTGACAGACAGAAAAACTCATAAATGTGCTGGTTGGAGCTGGAGACAGATTTATCTCATGTAGAGCATGTGTCAAACTTAAGGCCCCCAGGCCAAATGTGGCCTGCAAGAGCTTCAAATATGTATTGTTTTAAAATAAGCATAAGCTTCTTTAAAGCCAGCAATGACCATAAGCTATCTCATATGTCCAAGGACGTGTTAAAATATTGTTTCTATGCAAAAAATACCATGTAGAGCTCAGTTACTGTATAGTTTGTTAGCAGTACTCAGCTGTAGCAATGAGAYGAGAAGAATGACACAWGGTGTTTAGTCAAATTTAAACACAAAATGTTAAAGTGCATTACAGCTGGCACTTTGAGAGCTACCACTAAGCTCATGTGGCTCTCTGGGAAAATTAGTTTGACTTCCCTAATGTAGAGCATCATCAAGCTCTGTTTTAAAGCATTACTTTGTGTTATACATGTTTATTTCTGTTGATAAAATGATGCCTTGAAGACTCTTTGCAAATCTGAACAATCTCAGAGCCTTGCACTGTATTTATTTAAAAAGCCCATTTTTATTCTGCAGTAGCCTGTATCTTAAACTGACAGGTGCTTTGCAATAAATGTCTAGACGTGGATTTTTTTAAATAAAAWAAAAAAAMCARTTGAAGAAACTAAAGCGTCAAGAATTTCAAAAGTCCTTTTCGATTGTACTGAAAAGATGGTTCTAACTTGATTCTCCTTAGCTCTGCACATTTTGTGTTCGGATACATCAATGCCCTTGAGAGATTTCAACATGTCACTTGTGCTCTGCAAAAGTGAACTGGCAGCATTGGATGGCTGATTTAAAGCCCTCCATTGATCCACAATGAAAGGTAATGTCTAAAAGGTTTAAGAAGGCCAACCTTGGTGCCACGTGCAATTAGCCCTCTGAATAAAAGTCCGCAGCACCAGCGCGTAGCATCAGTGAACACAGCTGGTCCCTTTTAACCCGTATATATATAAACTTCATTCCTTATTAAAGTGATGGTGTTGTATTCAGAATTGACTGAAAAGTATCAGGTAAAGAAAGAAACATATTTTAAAAATGAATGAGAGCATTAGGATGAAACTGACCATGCAGTTTTTATTCTGCCAGAGCTGTGAGGCTTCTTGAAAAAAGTTWGGTATTTTGAAAAATTTAGAAATGTAAGAAGCTAATAAATAGTATTAATTACTGCTTCTGTAGGAATGTCTCATATCGTGTTTAGAGGTGCAAAATAAAATCTGCCTGACCTTCGGATTTACGGCT